TGTTATTAATGAATGAAATAATATAATGATTTCATACAATTTATATTGTAATATTTTAAATTACAAATGAGCTTGCTGTAAGTAAAATATAAAATATACATTTGACTTTTTCTAGAGAAAAAAACAGCCTGGATAAAAATATAATGAGAATAAATTAAAAAGGGCCTTAAAAATAACTTGGGTCGTCTGATTAAAATCTTCTTCAACAATAACGTATAAATTTGCGTTGAGTGGTCTATGTTTAATATTTCACGCATCTCCATGCGTCTGCGCATCATGCACGTCTCTTACCACGATTTGGAAAGTTTGCCGATAAGACTGTCACCCTTTTGAACTAATGTGTTTATAAAAGTAAATATCCTCAATATTATACTGAAATATATTGTACCTTTTTTTGTTAATTAACTTTCATACTTAAATAATTCAGTCTAACTGCAGTTAAGCTTCTGAGGTACACAGCAGTAACCTCTAAAGCTAATTATTATTTTTTTACTAATGAAAAAACACTCAAGAGTCGCTTTGCAGACTAATACTGTTCAAGTTTAAGCAGTATTCAAGGTTGACCAAGGAATGACGACTGCTTAAAAACCAATGCAAGCACACAAAATATACTAAATAGACAAAAAAATAGCATGGTGGGTAAGATTTCGCACAAGTCGCGTCTTCTTGTATTTTAGACCACAATGGGCGGAACTGTGAGTCATGTAGTCTGCGAGCTCAGACGAGCCTATGTAGACCTGAGTATTGAATAAATACGTTAGGTTTATGCGAATCGCAAACACTCATGATTTTAATACCATTCACGATTTCCTATCGGATATACGTTTAACTTTGTTTCCTGGACTGCGCGTACGCATGCTACTAGTTTAGCTCATTTTACATCATTCGCAGTCATTAAACATTCCATGTGTTCATAAAATAAGCGTAGTTAAACTTTTATTCATTGTTTAACTACGACTGGTTTGGCAAATAGACTCTAAAGTATATTCTTGCATATATATATTTTTTAAATTTTTCATTTAAAATAACGATTAAGTAATATTTTACTTACATATATGTATGTAAAAATAGATGTTGACACTGATTTATCAATCAACTTTCATGACAATTTTCATCAGGCATTTCCTTGTGAACAAAACTCGAATAACTGTTAATAAATAATGATATTAAATTATAATAAAATATGGAGTTATGCTATAGGTACACCACAATTTTCCAATCATATACCAATTGTATAATTTCTACAATTTCCCATAGTTTGTAATGAGCCATGATTGCGAGCTAATGGCTTCTATATATGAATCTAATATGCAAAAGAAGCATGGTGTTTCTCAGGGACCAATGTTGGGTCACAAGTGGCTTACCAATAACACATTATAGAATACGACATGTTAGCACAATTTTGTTAAATATTTTCTTTATTGCCATTTTCAATAGGTTTTCGATCCCTTTGCGCGAAGGCCGTGCCCATATAAATCATAAAGGTTGAACATAATATAATTTTGTTAAAAATGACTGAATTATGTCTAACACGCCACTCGTACGCAATCAATTCATTTTTAGCATTATTAACTCGTTGGGCTCGAGTAAAATAATAAATCAATTTCCACACTTACAAGAAATACGCTTAGTATAAACCGTAAGGAAAACTGCATGTCTGAGAGAACTTAGTAGGTTTTCGTAAAATATGTGAAGTCCGTCAACCCGCACGTAGTCAGCTTGGTGGACTATTACCTGAGCCCGTCGTATTGAGCAGCAGTGAGACGTTAAAAAGGGCTGATATTTCGCTTATTTGCCTTCCTTTTATTAAATTTTACAATATTATAATGTGTGTCAACTCTTCGATTTTTTCTGTCTACTCCGCAAGAGAAAAAGCATACAAGCAGAATATATCGCCCACCAGCGCGGCGGCGGCGTGGCGTGTGAACTGCGAAGTGTTACAATAATATTTAATGTGAACTTGTTTTAACTTAACATTTGAAATGGAGAAATTTACCTCAATATTTTTGTGAATTATGTCTTTAATATTTTGTAAATTAACATAAATTTAACCAAAGTGTGACTGAAACTACGAGTACCTAATTAACAATGCGGTATATTCGCATGTAAGCTAATGTTTAAAAACTATTCACATTATTACTTGTAGTTACATATTGACGTGGCTGGGCTTAATTTTTTATATTTATTTTGCACGAAATATTTAGTAAAAGAACTTTAAGTTTAAGTCATATTTAAAACGTTTATTCATAAAAGTATAACAACTTCAAAATCACTTAAAAGATCTCATTCCACCCTTAATAAAAAATTACAAAAATCTATTCGCGATTGGCGAAGATGACGAGAAACATACAATACACAAAAAAAAAACAACCAATCAACTTTTTTGTTTGAAGTCGGTCAAAAACGTATGTAATCTCAAATAAAGTCTAAAAATGTACAAAAATCAAGTAATATTTGTACCGGAACGCTATTACAGCGGACACTCAACTGGATTAAAGCAATACAGTAAATGCCCAACATAACTTACTCGGTTGGACTCGATCCAAATCGATTTTTTCCGGAGACGCTCTTTTTGGTATAAAATTCTTCACATTCTTTAAGTTTCTCGATGTGCCGACGATAAATTAAGATTAATCCTGTTTATATTGCTACACTTGCTGTCTATATAAATAGAAAAGTAATACATTCTACACAAAAATCTAGACATTTACTCTATATACCAGTATTTATTTTATTTATATACTAAGTTAAACAACTTTATAATTAACTATATAGTTTATTTACTAATACTCTACATCGATATTCGGATTAAAATTTTTATTTCATCTCTTTAACTACCTCTTGGGTACAATTTACCTCATCAGTGTCAATAACAATAGGAAGATGTAAATAGATCTTAAGGACTTAGTTAACTTAATATTTGTAAATAATAATTATATACAATGTATAGTTAAAAAACTAAAAACACATGTTATGGGCGAACTAATATAAGCTCAAACTCGAAGTTCTACTTATAAGTCTAAAAAAGCTCTAATCCACCTTCTGACTCCATCATAAGATTAGCTTTATCGTATTTGACATATGTATAAAGTTTATTCAGTTATCAATACACCAATTACAAGATGGTTAAAATCAACTTACAATAAATCTAAAATTTGATTACATAGTCTTCAAATAAAGATAATAAAAGTGATAACTTATATTCAAAGCTGAAAGCTGTATGTAATCAGCAAATCACCAATTTGTAATTTTCCGAATTTTGTTGATCTGAGAAACATTTCAACAACAGTTACAAGGGACCTTAGCACGGACACGGAACAGATACAATAAGACCTTCTCAGAAACTACGTGCCATTGCATGCCTCGCGAATTGTAATAAAAAATGCGTAGGTACGTGCTCGGCCGCGGGAGGCGGCTCCGACTGTACCAGCTTTTATTGATAATATTTACGGATATAAACATTTAACTCGTAATTCTGTATATGTATATAAAAAGGAAAATTCCACTGTCTAATTAATTACAAAGTCTCAGAAAGTATAAATGATACAAATTTTATTTTGGCTGGAAGCTTCCTCAAAGAGTGTAAATATCCGCCAAAAATGCTAGTATTAGATATGGCCATCGTACATATATATATATATATATATATATATATATATATATATATATATATATATATATATATATATATATATATATATATATATATATATATATATATCGTACATATATATATATATACATATATATATATATATACGTACATATATATATATATATATATATATATTATGTCGCTCTTTTACTACTTATTCATCAAAAATCTCAACTTTTGTCCTACTTGATTTTAGCAATTACAAAAGCTTATTAATATAATATCTATAGTAACCTAATTGTAATTGCAGTTTTTATATAAAAAATAAACAAATAATACAGCTAAAAAGCGTAAATCCCAATCTTGCTATGTTGTATTTGTCAACGGCATATTATGAGACAACCTTAGGGTTAGGTATAGAACATTACAAATTTGCGGAACAATACCGGTATTTTTTAATCTTATCTGCGTTAAGAATGTATGATTCAATAATCTACATAAAATGAACTGACCTATCACATAAAGGCAGTAGCGTCACAGTGACGTTTGACTAGTAGTTATGATTTTTTTAATAATAAATAGTATTCTAGTTATTACTTAATATTACCAATACCCTACTTACTCACTATAAGATTTGAATGACGGAAATTACATGTACAATAATTATGCTGCCCTGTGGTCCATTAGTAACAAGTCATTGTGTCAATTTATAACTAGCGACTCACTCGCTTCCCAATACAAACTTTCATTCCCATTTTCACCCCCTTGAGAGATGAATTCCGAGATAAAAAGTATCCTTTGTCCTTCCCAAGGTCACAAACTATCTCTTTGCTAAATTTCATCTAAATCGGTTTATTAGATCCAGAGATCATAATATTTTTAAAATTGTAATAACAGTATATTGAATTAAAATTATAAAAATGTTTAAAGTTAAAAAATATTGTAAGGTAATTGGTGCAATTTTTGATTTTGTTATTTGTGGGTAGGCTGTCTGTAACAAATAGTTTAGATGTCTCGAAGGTATAGACCTCAGTCTAACACCTCAGTCTCTCCCGTGATCATGATTGCTGTAAAGCATTCGAAACGTCGGGAACCAAAAATCCAAATAAATACGCGAAAAAATCCGAAAAGATAGTTTTATTTAAAATTATAGGTACTTATACATTTTTATAACTTTGTTTGGAACATATTCGGAATTCTGCCATAGTCCGAATACATACATATACGGGATGAAATGGAAGCTAACGCCAAAATCTATGTTAAGCTTTCCATTTCACATGCTCCATGACCCTTATAAAACGATTTAATAGTTATTGGCTACGGCCCACATAGAAACGCACTGAGTAGTTGGTGTTTTAGTAACATTGGCATTAAAGGTTATGTTTGCCAACAGTGTGAGGAGACAATGTCAGCGGGTGACATGTGCGTGTCGGCGGCGCGAGCGGGCCCGGCAGCGCGATGGCACCCCGCGTGCTTCGTGTGCAGCACCTGCCACGAGCTGCTGGTGGACCTCGTCTACTTCTGGAAGGACGGCCGCCTGTACTGCGGCAGACACCACGCCGAGACCTTGAAACCAAGGTGTTCTGCATGCGATGAGGTAGGTTCACGATAAATCAGCTTGTATTTCATAAAAAGTCTACTAGTAATTAAAAATAAAAATAGACCCAAAAATAGTATTTACGAAGTAAAACCCTTTTAGTCGATTATTATTATTATAACAGCTTATACTCTGTTACTGTAAGGTAGGGTCGTTATGCGGCAACGGACGATCAGTATCAGTATAGATCAGACGTAGGCTCTTAAAAATATGACGATTGTGAAACAATTCCAATTTTCAGGGCGGCTTCACCGTCAATTAAGGGGATACATCGTAAAACTGTTTATATTACATTGTTATCTATACATATATTAAAATTGTAACTAAGCCGAATCTGTACATTAAATATTTTTTGGAAAATCTTACTGAAATATACATTATTATCGATACAGAGGCCGAATCCATAGTTTTTAGACTTTTTGTCTGTCTGTCTGTCTATCGGTCTGTTACCGCATCACGGAAAACCCACTGGAGGGATTTTGATGAAATTTGATATGGTGATAGCTGGTTATCCGGGTCAACATATAGGATACTTTTTACTGCGAGAAAATATCTCATTTCTGAGAAAAAATGCAAAAACTGCAATGTAAGAGTATACTAATATGTAAAACCTAAGAATTTGGTTTTTGGTCATCTGAACGCGGGCGGAGCCGCGGGCAATGCTAGCATTAAATATATGCAATGAAAACCTCTATATAAAACTAATCTACATGTCTATCGACCCTCGCGAAGTGTGGGGTTCCGCGATGATATCGCAGTTCCTCCGGATATCGGCGGATCGCCAATTACACCCTTAGCATACAATGCAGCAATCCACTCGATAATATTGTTGACACGCCGGATTAAACGTGCAGCTTTTATTAAGGACACATTATCGGATCATTTATTGAACACCTATCGGATCGTTTGATCGGACTCCGATTGGAGGGGTGTGGTCAAGTGCGAGTACATGAGTATCTGAAGATGCGATAGGGCTATTGGAAATAGCCTTGATATTATAAATACGACAGTTTGTTTATTTCTTTGTTCTTCATTTACGCAGCAAAGAAGCAATGAATGCATTTTAAATTAAAACCGTATTATCATGTTAAATGATCAGGTAATTATAGGATGTATATTGTTTTCGAATTGAATTGATCAAATGAATATTATTATAAATAAAAGTGTTTGTGAGTTTGTACGTCTTTCATGTAAGATATTTTGTATATCGGAGACTGGCATAGGCTTTTTTGTATCGTGACAAAGCTTTAATTTGAAGTTACTTATGGACGGCCCTAAGTGAACCTAGGCTGTGCACTAATATGAAGTAGTAAAGTACTGAAATATTTTTGCAGCACACAATAACTACCTACTACGTTTAGTGTTTCATGAATAAGTAATAAGCCTTACCAACTATAAAGTAAGTATAACAATTAAAAAAAATGTAATTGCATGATGCATTGCATTAAATATGTGTACTTATAACATATTTTTATTATTTTCCTTGAATTCACCCGAGGTCAACAGCCCCAACAGTTGCGACTCCATATATCAAACAGGCTTATCAAATTGTGCTGAAAAGGGTCTATAAGTGGCGAGGGGGTGAAAATAACCCCCTACCGGAAACGATAAGGATTTAGGCCGAAGGGGTTAGGTTTAAAAGCCTTTCTGAGCATAAATTTGGCAGCGACGTAATTGATGGTACCTAATTTTTAGGTAGCAATAATAATTTCTAGGTAAACTGTAGGAGGCATATTGCTTGCCGCCTGGAAAGGGAAATTGTTATTTATGCTTTATATATTTTTTGCTTTCGATAACACGACCCCGATATTATTTACTAGCGACTTGCGCTCGCTTCGCTCGGGTACGTCCCTAGGCGTCTAACAGTTGCTCAAGTACTCGTATTTGTCCTCTAGGTCATAATCTTACTCTATAGTAAATTTTAACCAAAAATGAAAGTGTTGTCTTGTCTATTTACACAAATACAAAATTTTACATTTTTAGGTAGTGTCTAAACTAAACCTTTATTATTAACTAGCGACTCACCCTCACTCAGTCCCTAGCTTGCTTTCCAATACAATTTCCCCATTTTACTCTCTTAAGGGATGATTTCCGGGATAAAAATCCCATATCCTTCCCAGAGTCACAAACTATCTTCTTACCAAATTTCATCTAAATCGGTTCATTAGATCCAGGGATTACCCCCTACAACTTCACAAACTTTACCTATTTATAATATTAGTATAGATGACTAGTGGCTCGCCCTCCCTTCGCTCGGATTCGGCTCTAGGATAACAAAGACAAACCTATCCCATGGCAAACGTACATGTTTTTCGGGATAAAAAGTAGTGTTATTCTAGTATTCTGATGTATGAGTATATTATTGTAAAATAATATTAAAATTCATTCAGTAGTTTTTGCGTGAAAGAGTAACTAACATCCATACATCCAAACATCTCATTTATAATATTAGTATAGATTTTAATATTCATTAACAGTTGCCTGAAAATGTATATTTTTTTAAACTTACTGTCTTAACCAATATACCTACATAAAAAAACAGGTACTTGTCGTTTATAATGTTCACCTTTATAAAGTGTATGCCGTATATGGCTACTTTTTCTTTCCCTTAAAGCAATATTATTAACCTGTCATTTCGATTCTCTATAAAAAGTAAAAAACTGAATGACTATTTTAGACCGATTTCAGAAAAATCAGGTATCTACTCAATTTGTGTACGTTACACTATATCTTTGAAAAACGGTCATGTTGATTATTTTAATAAATTATACCTCAATTAAAGCCATGTACGCTTTATATATATATATATATATATATATATATATATATATATATATATATATATGAAAAAAAACAAAGTCGCAAAATACATTCTTCTGTAACTAATTAGGCAGTTTCAAAACATACAAGTTCTCAAAACTTAAATATTATCAACGCCACGCTCCAAGACCGAAGTTGTTAATATTTTTAACAAGCCATAAACACGGAAGGAAATTCTTTTGTAAATACCATGATACGGTCAAATCCGATAACTTTTAATAACATAATTGTATGGAATGCCAAAAAGTGCGTACTGTTCGTGCGAACCTTTACGGAGAACTAAATCGCAAAATCACCCCCTCTTATCTGTTCAATTTGAATACTAAACAATGATAATTTGCTGCAAAAGAATCTATAAACATTCCCTAACCCCTTTTAGATTAAGGAACAGATTACTTAAACGCAATCTTATTTAAATCTTATATTCAGGATTTCGTAATTAATAAAGACAGTATATATATGAATAAAAACGTTTTATCTTTATATGAGAACTAATGACTCACCTTCACTTCGCTAGTTACTTTTTAACGTTTAGTATAGTATTCTCAGAGATGAGATATTTTCCCTCAGTAAAAAGTATCCTATATGTTGGCCTGGATAACCAGCTATATCATATCAAATTTCATCAAAATCTGTCTAGTAGTGGTTTTCTCGTGATGCTTTCTCAGACCGACGGACAAAAATTCTAGAAACTATAGATTCAGCCTCTGTATCGATAATAATGACTATTAAAATAACAGTTTCCAAAAAATATTTAATGTACAGATTCGACTCAGAATTTTATTACAATATCAAATATGTAGGTATAAATGAGAATCATCACATACATTTCTATAGCGATAGTATGAACCTAAGTAAATAACGTGATCATGTTTTTGATCTACACATGTATTTCTGATCTAACTTCACTAGACACTAACTTCTTAGTGGAAATTTTATGTTTTCTCTGCTTGTTTCGTTTTAATTTTATCTTTAGTTATGTTAAACAAATTGTTTTTATTACCTCTGTAATAATACTATTTTATACACCAAAGCGATATTTTTTTCTATTTCACATAACTTGTGACATTAAAAAGCTCGCATATTTTGAAAGTGAGACTAAAAAAGCCTAAATCTAATCTTGATTTTTCATTCTAGATTAGCGTAAATAAGAATGAGTTCGCGTAATAAAATTGTTAAAGGCACACCGAAAAGTCTACACTCAGCCGGCGAGTCTGACCACCCCCCGTTATTAATTTTGATTGGCAGGGGGTGGAATAAACGAAATAACATATTTCGACAAAATTTTATAGCCTTCATGTAAGCATGATCGATCGTCGGCCTAAATGGAGGCTAAGCTAGAATAATTAATTTAATACATTGTTGTGAACCCACCTTCATTGTACTGATTTAATATAAAAGTAATACTTAAATATTAAAATAAAAAATTTCAGGTGATTGATTCGAGAGAAAAGAATTATTCATATAAGAAAAAAATATATAATTACTGTTTCTTACTAAAATATGAAAATATATACCAGCACCTTTTAACGGTTGGTATGGAATAGATAGACTATGTATTATTATATGTGTATGTATATACGGTATGATGAGATTTATATCCCTTACTTGAGGAATATTTGATTCCCCATACAAACTTTCATCCTATTTTTCACCCCTTAAGGAATGTTTCCAGGATAGAAACGAATGTCCTTCCCAGGATCTAAAACTATCTTCATACCAAATTCCATATAAATCGGTTCAGCGGATTAACAAAAAAAAATTCCATTTTTTTCTCTTTTAATACTCGTATCTTTTAATAAGAAACTAGTGACACATTCTTGTTTGTCTCAGAATTATGAATAAAGTTTAGCATATACATTATACGAGTACATATTATATTTTAACTTAAAATTTAAACTAAATATAGCATGTTAAGATAAAACACATATTAAAACTAAAGCTAGGTTCTATCGTTATCATGCATGATAGATTAAGGAGTGTAGGTTTGGTGCAGTGCGGCTTCCGGCTAGCCTTGTCACTCTACACTCTGCAGTCTATGCTTTATTATCGTGCCGGAGTACACTCGGACACATGCTCGGTCAATCGAACCAATCTGAATCACAATTTAACAACTATAAAAAAAACACTTGCCTACTAATAAATATCAAAAATAATATTTTACAACTACTTTTAATGGTTTTAGACATGAGAAATATTTCAATATTTTCAAATACTATAAAATTTGTTATAATGTTGCCGAGTGTACTATTTTAATGCAGCAGTGCAAGTTTCCTTGGCATTTGGTGGAAAATTAGTGGAAAATGAAAAGGTTAAAGCTAAATAAAAGTTTCAACAGTCTATTTAAAGTTCCCATGCAAGGTCAAATTGAGTTCATGAAAATATAATGTAGATAAGTTAGCGATAGGACTAATTTGCTAAATTAATAAGGCAATATAGACAGTCGCGTGCTGCGATCGTATAAGCGGACTATCATCACACATCAACATGCGAAGACGTCGCGGAATATGTACTTTTTCATGGGAATTATGCATAATATGCAAAAGTATAAACCTTAATCTGGGAAAATAACATACAACTCTGCAGTCGGCCGTAGTAGCAATTAGCTTCTTAAATGTTATATTGTGCTACTGAACAGAGAGATTTATAGATCGTTCGACGGTTAGACATTCACTCAATGTTTTTTGTAAGACAAAATCATGACCTACATGGTATACATACCACAAAAAGGCATTTTATACTGAGATTTATTCAGTTGAATAAAATGAACCTACTTGTTAATTTATTACCTATTTTTTTTGTTAAATTCAATAGTAAACAATAAGCATTATCCTTATGCAATATATAGGTAAGTTTATATCAATATACTGCAATAACTGTAATAAATAGGCAACAAATATTTTCCTGTTAAGTATACTTAAATACTAAAAAATTTTATATAGGTATTTTAATGAGAAATGAGCTCGACCTAAAAAAGATCCTCAGTTATTAATAGCCTATTAGCTCTTACATACGCCCGCAATAAACATAAGACTATTCTACGGAACAACATTATAATATACATAATACATACATCTATGTATAACATCATAGTAAACAAGCGATCAAGTAATTATGGGAATACCTACTGTATTACTGCTACTTCTATACATATAATAAAATCTGTACATTAAATATTTTTTGGAAAATCTTAATGAAATAAACATTATTATTGATACAGAGGCCAAATCTATGGTTTTTAGAATTTTTCTCTGCCTGTCTGTCTGTTACCGCATCACAGAAAAATCACTGGAAGGATTTTGATGAAATTTGGTATAGTGATAGCTGGTTATCCGGATCAACATATAGGATACTTTTTACCGCGGGAAAATATCTCATTTCTCAGAAAAAAATACAAAAACTGCAATGTAAGAGTATACTGATATGGTCATTTAAACGCGGGCGGAGCCGTGGGCAATGCTAGTATATTATAAATGGGAAAAAATAAAATCAAATTATACTTTATTCAAATAGAATTCTACAAGCAAATTTAAATTATTATTATTTTTTTTACATTTAAAATCGGTTCTGCTTGCGTAAACAAACGCTTATGTATAATTGCTCGTCTTCTAAATTCTAAGCCCCCTATTTTTACCTCCAGAGACTTTAACTACTGTTTAAGACGAAAATAAAAAAAAATGAAAGCAATGAATAAAATATATCAAATAGATAATTTTCAATTTTGATCACTATAACTTTAAAAATAACCTTTTTTTCTGCTGCATTTCCAAAAAAATTTTTTATTAATACCTACTACCATACCCATGAGAAATCTAACTGCTGAATTTAAAGTTAATGTAGTGAGTAGTATTTCGCTTTTGTATATATACATAGATATTTGTATTTTAATTCCGCGAACCAGGCCAGGCTCGGAAGGCAGTTCTGCTGCAGAAGAGCTAGATCATAAGTCGTTCTTAGAATATCTAGCAGTAGAATTATTCAGTTATAGTTTAAAAAAATACCATATCCTATACAACTAAATTTTATTAAAAAAATACTTTATTACTAATATCAAGCGACAAGTGAGAACATCCGCATGGCAAAACTGTCTAAGAGTGATTCACAGGAATTCCAACATTCATGTAGGCTGGTTATGTCACACGTGTAACTTGTTTGGGAAACATGCGACGGTAATTGAACGTGTTATTAGTTTCATTTAAAGACAGTTTTCTATTGAAAATACAATCAAGTTGCCAGTAGGTATTTCAAGAATGTAAGGAATCCTATAATAATGTATAGATTTAGTGCGCAGTTCCACAATGAACTATAAGATATTCGCATAGCTTACATGTAATTGATCTTATTATAGTACTAGCATTGCCCGCGGCTCCGCCCGCGTTCAGGTGACCAAAAACCAAATACTTAGGTTTTATAGATTAGGATATTCTTACATTACAGTTTATGCATTTTTTCTCAGAAATGAGATATTTTCCCGCGGTAAAAAGTATCCTTTATGTTGACTCGGATAACCAGCTATCAACATACCAAATTTCATCAAAATCCCTCCAGTGGTTGTTCTGTGATGCGGTAACAGACAGACAGACAAAAATTCTAAAAACTATAGATTCGGCCTCTGTATCGATAATAATGACTATTACAATAAAATTTTCCAAAAAACATTTAATGTACGGATTCGGCTTGGTTACAATTTTATTATATGTATAGATTAGATATATTCTCATTCAACTTACACACGATATACTACTATGTATAAATAGCTTAGTTAATTTTACACCTAATCTTCATCCCAATAGAAAGATTACAGTAAAGGAATAGTTGAAATTCAGCGAGACAATAACTGTAGGTAAACTGATAATGAGCTAGATAAGACGGCTCCCAGGGCAATTGAATCAGTGAGAGCTAGCCGACCTAGGTAACCTAGGGAACTCTTGCGATATCACTTTGTTCACTTTGGGTTTTGTAACCTTAGATCCAGAGATTATACGATTTTATATTCATTTCCTCTTTTCATTTAACAAGTAGTCAATATGCGATATATTAAAATTTTAATATTAGATGTCGACAATCAACCTGTTATGTAAAACAATTACTATAAATGCTAGTATTTCTTTCGACTTGAAGCACTTTCTCTTTTTCGCCTAATAAAGCTTTACAGATACAATAGAACAAGCAATCTTTATCGTTTTATTAGAGTGCACCACGATTTCCTTCATATGCATTACCGCATGCAGGTACCTACCGACTCCCGATTAAGGCAAATAACCTTTCCGTGTCCATCACTACTTTTAGACATTTACTAATATCACTCGAAAAATACTGGATGTACTAAGAATAAAAATATTCAGATATATGCTGTTTATTCCTGCCCACATAATAACGTACCTAATACTTACCACCATAAAAACGAACAAACATTTGAACTCAAAATAAAGGCAGCATAAGTGATGTTTAAAAAATATTACGAGTCGAAACTCAGTGCAGCGGCACCATATCTAGCTAGCACTCTCTACAGTAATAGCAGGTTCGAGACTCATCCGTGTCACTCCATAATTATACTTAACTTAATTGTCTGGCCTAGTGAATAAATTTCTATTCAGTTCGTTTCTTTGAAAAACTTACAAAAAATGAAAGCATTGATAAATTCCTTACACTCCATAATTTCATAACTAATCACCTCTTCAGATCGAAACAGAACAAATTGCGAACTAACTCATCAATGAACTCCAGTCAGAAATACTTAAGATCTCAATTCATTACAATAGAAATTATTTTAGGCTATTAATAGTAATCAATATATTAAATCTATTAGCACATAGGTGCACCTCATTTTCCTAAAATTAAATTCAAGAGTTTTCAAAGTCCACGTTGCAAAGCAAAGCCAGCCTATGCACTTTAAGCCGTCCAGCTCGACCGACTGAGATACCGTTTTAAAATATTAATAACGATGTAGTCCACTAATGAACGAACAAAATGTAACCGCGGCGTGGGAAACCATTGTCAGAACTTTCCTGGAGCACTGAACCGCTCGGTGATAACGTGAAGCCCAATTAAACTTGTTTATCCGAGTAATTAATTAAAAAGCACGTATGGGCGAATATGGATTAATTAGATGGCGCCCCTCAACTGATTTAATACTCCTTGACGAATGTATGCTTGTCGATAAGCGATATATAGCGAACTGATCTGATCTTCAATTGTAACTTTCACTTGGGAAAAACTGCTTTGTTTATTAATGAAAGCATTAAAACTAGAATAGGAAATTTATTATTTTCTTATATGTATATTATAGATAATTTATAATAAATATTTGTCTTCGATAATATTATTAATATATCTAAAGAATCTTTAATCTTATGCCCAGAATTAAATATCAGTTTTTTGAAAGTTATAAATAACTATTTTTAGCACTGATATCAAACATAAGTCATCCTCGTCATAATGTCCAATTGTATCTTTAAAAAACATATAATTCGTGTCATAATAAAAACTAATGGCAACTCCCTCTTTTTATAAAGTCAGTTAAGACGTAGCAAAAACGACAAGTTTTAACAAAAACAACTAAAAGACACAAGTGGACAAAGTTTCAGGGGGTCTTTGCCCTAATTTGTACAACTATAATTATTATAATTAACTATTATTTAAAGAGCATGTATAATCGTATAATGATATATCTTCTTACTAATTTATGCAATCTTTTTTGTTGCCTGACGCGATCTTTCATTAGCTGTTGCTTAATTGTGTATGAAAAAATTAAATCGTTTCTAAACATTACATAAAAAGTTCACAATGTATTCAACAGAGTAATTAAGAGCATATTAGTCAAATTAAGTACATTGTCATAATTGTCATTAAAAATTAATCACCAATTTTAAATAGAACTATTCTTTCGCAGATAATCCTTGCTGACGAATGTACGGAAGCTGAGGGCAGAGCGTGGCATATGAAACACTTCGCGTGTGCCGAATGCTCGCGTCAGCTGGGCGGGCAGCGGTACATAATGCGTGAGGCGAGGCCTTACTGCCTGCCGTGCTTCGACAATTGCTTTGCAGAGTACTGCGACGCTTGCGGTGAACCCATAGGTGTCGACCAAGGCCAGATGTCTCATGAAGGGCAGCACTGGCACGCCACGGAACGATGTTTCGCTTGCCATACATGTCGCGCCAGCTTGCTAGGACGTCCGTTCTTACCTAGAAAGGGAGCTATCTACTGTTCAATAGCGTGTTCAAAAGGTGAACCCCCCACACCGTCAGACTCTTCCGGTCCCGGGCCTCGACCACCAAGAGTTCCTCGACCCAGAAGAATGCCTTCTCCAAAATCACCAGCGAGATCACCTCAAAGAGAACCATCCCTTCATATAGATGCAGATTCGGAGCCGAGTGCCTCTCTAGCTCCGGAGTCTCCCCCGCCACACCCACCACCACCACCACATGCTTGCCTTAGCTTAGATAGAGCACTAGCGGACCTAAGGTTAGAACAATCATTGACCGAGCACCAAATACAGCCCACGCCTACTTCGGAAGAAATGAACGAGTCTCCAGAGCCACATTGGAAGCCTCCACATCCGGTCGAGGCGCAGACTGTGGTGACCCCGGGCCACTCTACGTCTATGCCAGAATTGACACTTGTAGACGGCAAAGGATCTCAGAGAAAACCAAGAGGGGGAAGAACGGTAAGATTTTGCGGTGACGACAATGAAGCGTTCGAGCCCGACGAACCGATAAGGAAAGAAAAAGTTAAAGATGAAGACGCCAATAGCTACTGTAGCACCTGTTCCTCGTCGTCCTCGTCGACGGAATCGTACACGCTGCCTACGAGACGAGCGTACGGCGGCGTGAGAATATCGTACGTACCCAACGACGCTGTGGCGTGTGCGAAGCGTGAAAGACAGAGAAAAAATGCTCAAAACGATAAAAACTGCATCATTTCGTGATCTTGGCTTCTCATTGTGCCTCAAACCTCATAGTGACACCAACCTCCGAGCGAAAGACTGACTTTTTGATAGTTTTTATCCCCTACACGCCATAGTATTTATAATAGGAATAAGAATATGTCTTCCTTGGAAAAAGGGTGTAAGTAAATGTAAGCAGATGTTTTAATGTCACTAATTATTATGTTGTGACAGACCGCACGACTGCCATTTGTGTGCAAAACCAATAAATAGGACTTTGAACAAATTTGTCTCGATTTAACTTTGAATCTAATCCGTCAATGGGTCTCACGCATTGGGCCGCGTGCACCGGTTATGTACCTTTTCTATTGATGGATTTCGGAAAAGGGTTAATTTTTTGCAAATCTTATTTTGCAAGGGTGGATTTCGACTTTGGTGGTCGAGGAAATCAGCTTTAATGTATTGAATATAAAAGCTTGCTAAATTAATTTACATATCTAAGCTTTGTTCATATCGTTTGGAAAACTTATTTAGGACATATCCCACTTTGCCACATAGAAGTAAGTACTAAGTTAGGTAACATAAGAAATGAAGAGTTCAGTACAAAACTGCCTTGTTTATAATAACATTTTTGTATTGCAAAAATGTGTGTTCAAAATGTATATAGTATATAGTTAATAAGAGAGTGACATTGCCTTAGAATGTATAGTACGAGTAGGTTCCGTATGCGATTTCGCGTCGTGTAAATACTACTGGACAGATTTTAATAGAGTTTTGCAATTATAATAAGACATGAAACAACATATACTAAAACATAGCACTTTACAAGCGAAGTCAAAGGCAAAAGCTAGTTACACACTCGTTTATCACCACCTGTACTGCATTGTTCGAGTTATAAGTGTTGAATAATAATGAATAGGTCCCCTTCGAACCGGTCTATACAAATTGTTTGTTTGTAAAATAATATATTATTTATAATTTCTACATACGACCCTAATATTTATTGTATTTTATCATCAATTATTGTATTTTATCAATACATTGTTTTTCTTGATTGAATACTTCTAATGATTCTAAACGCACTAAGACAAAATATCTGTTGAAAAAACCTGTACATTCTCTCTAAAAATAATTATTTATGTAACAATGAAATTGTAAATAAAATGTCATCCTAAAACAAAATTCCAGAGATATTTTTATTTTGTAGACGTAACTGTCTAGTAATGGAATAGTATCTATATTTTTAATTCTGCAGTGAAAATTCAAAACGATATATAAAATCAAAGTCAGATAAGTAACAAAAAGATTTTTTTTTAAATAATAGAGGTACTTTTGATTATTAGTTTTTTTTTAAATGATGAGGCATTAACTTAAAGTAATTTCAAAGAGAAAATCGTAATGCATTGCGTCAACGTGAAGTCACTGCAGTATTACATAATGAGGGGTCAGAGACGATGAGAACCGTAACGGGTGTGACTTTTAATTAGATCACAAATATGCTGTTTTAAACATTTTTCTTTGAAAGATTATTTTATTATACTTCTAAATTGGTATGTCGAAATAAAAGCAACAACATTCTAATAGCAATATGTAATGTTTCTAAGTTATTTGTAACGAGAGAATAAAATGTTTTTTTATGAATTTATCTTCGGTTTTTATTTCCTAATTCCTGGTTGAACATTTAAATATCCATAGATCATTTGGAAATACAAATGCTAAAATTTTGTCAAGTTATCTATACATATAATAAAATTGTAACTAAGTCGAATTTGTACATTAAATATTTTTTGGAAAATCTAATTGAAATAGACATTATTATCGATAAAGAGTCCGAATCTATAGTTTTTAGAATTTTTGTCTGTCTGTCTGTCTATCTGTCTGTTACCGCATCACGAGAAAATCACTGGACAGATTTTGATGAAATTTGGTATGATGGTAGCTGGTTATCCGGTTCAACATATAGGATAGTTTTTACCGCGGAAAAATATCTCATTTCTGAGAAAAAATACAAAAACTGCATTTTAAGAGTATACTAATATGTAAAACCTAAGAATTTGGTTTTTGGTCATCTGAACGCGGGCGGAGCCGCGGCCAATGCTAATCCAATATAAGAATTAGAGGTTTCTTGAAAAGGTTGACGAGAATGTAGGAATAAAATAACATATATATGTATGTATGTATACACTGACAGTATACTTCTGCGTCTATATAGTTCTTACTTTCTGTTATAGACGAACACGAACCATTTGTAGAGGTAAAAAAGTAAATAGTTATAGGTAAATAATTAATTCTCAAAAGAGGCGATATGTAATTGAACAAATTCATACGACAAAGCAAACTGTTGGTGCACATAATAATGAAGTGTGGCTAAATAATAAGTAATTTACTTTATATGTACGTCCATTCCGCCTTCCGCTTCCGCATTTCTTCGCGGTACACACGCGCGGTATTGTCATCACATTTCCCATAGAACGGACGCTTTCTTGCATCACAGGACATGTATTCATTTGACATAATGCTAAGAATTTCACTGATTATGGGAAAAGTACTCGGGCTTTACTTAGAAATTGAAATCGCTTTGGAAAGTTTATTGACTCTGCATGCTTTGTAGTTCAGTACCAACCGTATGCTTTTATTACAAGCTTTTATGTCATAAAAATATATACGAGTATTTAAAATAAAAGTGCTTTTTAACCGACTTTTAAAAAGTGGTGTTTGTTGTTATTGTGTGTAGATATGTTACGCGATACCTTCGCGTAACATTTTAAGAAAAATGGACAAGTAACTTTGTATAAAATTTACAAGTCATAAGGATTTCTGAAACCAAATTCCTCACTTTGCGGTTCGATTCCGTTCACCACAATTTTCAATATTTTTTGATAAGACTTCGATATAAATTTTTAAAGTAAGCTTTATTTGTGCATTCATAAAATACATATATCTCTATGTATGACTTAAAATAGCTACTCAATATGATATCTTATTATTTAGGTGCTAGATACTAAAACCCACCTTAATACTTTAAAGCAATTAAAAACATAATAATTTCTTAGATGTACGCGAATATTTGACATTTTAAATAAAAAATATATATTCGTTTTTTTTTTTTAATTTTAAGGGTAGGCTGTCTTTAACAACTATAATTATAATTCCTTTGAGACATCTAAAACTTTAGTCTCTCCGTGACCATGAGCGCTGTAAAGCATTCGAAACATCGGGAACCAAAAATCTAAATAAATCCGCGGAAAAATCCGAAAAGATTGCTTTATTTAAAATTAAAGACATATAATTCTACCGCAATGGCTTAACGTGCCTATCGTTTACTACGGGATAAAATATAACAGCCTCTTTTTTATCCCTGACAATAAATGGAGAAGACAGCAGAAGAAGATTACCTACAATCAGGGATCTATCATTAAAAACGTACGCGCTACCTATGCCGCTAATAGAATATTTCAAAGATTTTGACACAGTATGAAGAGAGGGCTAAGTCTAAGCGAGTGCGGTCTCACTGCGATTCCTTAAATATTTTACTTAAAATCAGTAGCAGAAAAATTATACAAAAGCGTGACTGTTAATTAAATAATTTATATCATAATATAAATATTTAGTCAAACATGCAAATAATAGCCTTATATTATTATAATTTAAATAGTCTGTTTCACCCCTTGCCAACCCTCACAGCTGGGGTGAGCGGTAAGCCACCCTTATTAATCACTAATATAATGACATAATAACTCGTGACATTACAGGCAAAGGGTTGTTTCGAATTAACTTTTTCAGGGGGTTTCAAGGTCATGAGATTGGGGTAGGTTAGCCATTAAAGTGGTATTAATTTTAGAAAGTATTTATTAACATTATAGCCGCTGTCACGTTATGGCTGTTAAACGTTTGATATCGTAATTACTTTTAGTTTATATATGTTTATGTAAAATAATAAACATTCATTATTAATTTACTATATTTCTTTTGTCAAGTTTCTAGCTATATATTATACGCATTAATAATCTTTAATATAAATCATTGATTATCGATAAGCACTCTTCATGATATTACTTTGATTAGAAACGATGTACAGCATGTTTCATATCACTCCATAATACAAAACAAAGTCGGTTCCCGCTGTCTGTCTGTCCCTATGTATGCTTAGATCTTTAAAACTCCGCAACGGATTGTGATGCGGTTTTTTTAATAGATAGAGTAATTCAAGAGAACGGTTTATATGTATAATACATGCATACTGTAGTACAGAAAAGCCGAGAAATTCAAAGATTTGTATTTCATACTAACCGTTAAAATGTACCTAGGGACGAACCCGAGCGAAGCGAGGGTGAATCGTTAGTTATATTATAAAAACATAATATTTACATATAAATTTTATTTAAAGGAAACGAGGGGAAAGATTTAAAAGTTTATTTCACTATCTTAATTTCTATAACGGATACAAATATAGAGCAGCAACTTTCTGTATGATAAAGTCCTTATTAATAATACTGTCATATATAGGTAATCCTTTGTTTTCTCGTTGCTGTCGAGCAAAATAAATGAAAGTAAAAGTCAAATAAATAAATGAAAGGTCAAAAATTACTGCCAAAAGTACTGAATACTATTTTGTACTTGAAATATGAGTTATTTTTTTAATATAACATTTTTTTAAACCACGTCAAAATCAAATCAAAATTCATAAACAGTGATTTTAATAATGTAAGATATTAAAACAAAACACGATAAAGGCGCTATTTATTACAAACGTAAATAATAAGTTATCAAACAGTTTAAATATATAGATATGAAACTATTTTATTTTGTTAAACTAAAACTTTAAATTAAAAAGATATGTGAAAAATGTATTTAAAATTATACAACACCTGATTACTATCAAAACACGAAATCTTTCTACATTTTATAAGTTTTTTTTTAATTTAGATTAGAACCAAGGTAAAACCAAGGTATTAACATATTTTTTTAAATTCATATTTCATGTTAATATACTTTCTAAGTTCAAGCTAAGTTAAAACAAATCTCAAAACAAACTAAAT